TGCAACAGTGCAACACTCCATAATCTCACTACAAAAACACGAAATTTCAATCCCTAACCCTAATTCCACAATCATACAATTCCAATCTCTAATAACAATCATCAATTCACACACAATTATTGAATTAATAACGACAATTAAGAAAAAGACGAACCTGAATGTAAGGAGTAAGAAGAGAAAGCTGAAGCGCCCAACCAAACTGAACACCGGCGGCAACCGTACAACTAAGAATCAATTTCAGCAAACTATTCTTCTCCGATCTCGAATCCGACGAATGCCGGTGAATTTCCGGCGAATCGCCGTTAACAACCCTTGGAGAATTACGATCAAAATCAACCAATTCAACCTCAGCAGCTTGCTTGAGGTGTTTATAGGGGACTCGGATCGATACCACTGAATCGGAGATGTCCGCCATAGCTGAGTCAATGACTCGTTAAACTCAGCGAATCGATTGGATTCAGATGAATGTCATGAATTTGGGAGATTGGATTGCAGATCTAAGAGGAGAAAGATTCGTTGACAAGTAAAGTGTTTGGGAGATTGACTATGGTGTTCTTTTTTTGGACCAAAAATGTTAGAAATACGATACGATGGTGTAACTTGTTTTTCTAAAAATAAAAAATGCGCGTGTTTGAATAGGGTGAAAGTTTGCTGGCTTTGGTTTGTTAAGCCACCCTGTTCGAGCATAAGGACTAGAGGTCCCAACCATCCAATCGAGAGAGGTCGGAAAGGGCAAGGCGGGGTTCATCATTAGAGTTTCAAGTTTTCAGACTTAGGGCTTATTTTCTTTATTAATTATTGTACATATAAAATCAAAATTTAGTCAAATTAGATAAATATATCAAATCAAATTAGTAAACATAATGTCAAATCGGGTCTTGTTGGATTCTTAATAATCTTTTATTACGGAGTAATATGTAATTTTCATAATTTTTTTTTTTACAATATTAAAGATATATAGCGATAAAAAAACGCGAACTAAACATGTCTTACTCGTATAGTCGTATTCAAAGTTTGGTTCACTTATACAAAGTACTCCCACACATGAAAGCCTAATTATAGGTTCATCAAACTACAAGTAATATTTTTTTTTTTTTTTTGGACAGTGAGTACTACTCCATCCGTTTTTAAATACTTGCTTCATTTCTCTTTGGCACGAATGTCGATGCTAATATTTGATTAATAATATCTTTAATCATCAATAAGTATAAATTCTAACAATTGAAAATTAATAATCTATTCACCGGGACGATTTCAACAAGTACCCACAAAACTATATTTTTACTTATGTATAAATCACAAACATTAGTCAAAGTAGGACGAATGAATAGATAAAAAATAGAAATGAAGCAAGTATTTAAAAACGGAGGGAGTAATAAACAAAGCAAACCACTAAAAGGACCAACTACGAGTAATAGTTAAATTCCAAAATTGATTTATACATGCACCCCCTCACATAAAATTTCGTTCACGGTTTGTTACTGTAAATAAAGTTGTTTACTAACAAGTCAATTGTTACTGGCTTTATTAAAAATCATGATAATCCATAAATTAATAGCTTTGAAGTTTAATCAAATAACGGGCTCAAAGAATCGATTTTAGACTTTGTAGTTGCTTGTTTTCTTGTACGTAGTATACTACTCGTAGTATTAATATTTGTTGATTTCACTTGATGAAGTGTAGCTTGGGCCGAGACATGCAATCCTAGGAGGCAATGAGGCATTGTTAGAGATAGTTTCTATGGGCCGAGGCCTTGATTAGTTTGTAGTGGGCTTGGCATAAAGTGTACATTGTACACATTCATTACTAAGGTAATCTTATTCACTATTTTTTCGATTTTTAATCACGTTAGTTTACAAGTTTACTTCTTGTTTAATCCTTTGTACATGGCTTTATGCCTGTATACAGTTGTGTACATTTTTTTTAGAAAGCTGACCACGACTAATTATTATTGAAACTTTAAGGAAAAAAATTGGATGCAATTGTGTACATTGGAGTATTCACGTTTGTCATACATATTTTTTATACGTTTGCCAATTTATATATAATTGAAAAAGGGAGAAAGTATGTAACATTTATTTACAACAACGGACATTAGTTAATTCAATTTTGTGCCTTATTTTAATTTGGGTGTGTTTTTTCCCTCTCGATCACACAATCTTCTTTTGATTTTTTTTTTTTTTTTGACGGGATTCTTTTGTTTTGTTTTGCTTTAATTAATATTTATATATAAATAATTATTTTAATTGATTATTATTCTTAACTTAGATTTATATGGAATACTTTGCTTAATGCTTTAAAAAGTAGTAGTAAGATTTTATCTATTCCTTTCAATTCATTCAAAGTAATAGCAAGCTTAAAGGACACTTTAAATGTTTTTAAAAGGCCGGGATATGAATATATATGTCTTAGAACATAGAGTGTTTGGCCACCCTAATAAAACATTTTAGTTTCGCCACTAGACTTGATTAATTATATAATATGAGAAGTTAAGTCTGCTGCTTATTTCATCAAGCTAGATCTAGTTTGGTGATGAGTAAAGTACGCTTTTGGATATATATGACGTGAGACTTAGGTTTAATTTGTAAATAATGACTCTTATTAATCTATCTACAAAAATTATGAATAAATTGAAAGGAATAGAGAGAAGACTTTTGAGTTTAATTTGGTAGCCCTAAAAGTGATGAAGGCTATTGCTCGTACATGGTTAATGATTAATGGCTACATATATAGTAGCTAGCTATAGTTGTTTTACTAGGTTGTTGTATAATAAAGATGACTAGGCATACCTATTCCTAACTAGATCTGACTAGAAAAAGCTTCTAACAAGTCTGACTAGGCATACCTATTCCTAAGTTTAAATCATACGTCGTATAAATTAAAATTAAGATAAGACAAGATAGATATAAGGGTTGTAAGATCAAATAAATAATTTTTGAGGCAATAAGATAAGTGAAATTAATTTTAAAAGAAAACTACCTCAGTGTAATCGGTTTTCACCTTTTATAAGCAAGTTGAGGGTTCAAATGAAACAATAAAGTTAGGGTTTAGAAGTGTTATACTCTATAGGTAATTCTATATCTATTATTAGGTGTATAATTTTGACCATGAATGCATAAACATGTGTCCATGCACTACTTTGACCTTGAATATTAGCTCAGTCTTTGCCACCAAGTCAAAATTTCAATGATATAAAGATATGATAAATAAGATAAGGTAAGATAATCTGGAGGTCAATATATAAGTGGAAATTTTGATAAATGGAACATTACCTAAGGCCTTATTTTGTTCCCTTGTTAATAAATTCAATAAGTTTGAATATTATAAGTTGAAGAAATATATAGTTAGCTGAAATAATAATATTTAGTAAAAATAATTTTATTTTATTAATTAAAAATAGTTTCAATTCAGTAAAATAAATTCAGTTTAGTAAAAATAATTACAATTTATCGGTAAAAAATAATATTTAATCTTTAATTGAAAATTAGTAACTATGAAGAACAAATATAATAGAATAAGTGAAATAAGTTTTAATCAATAAAAAATTAAGTTTAGTAAAATTAGTTTAAGTTCAGTATAGATAATTTCCATTCAGTAAAATTAACGTGAAGATAACGTGCAACGCCTTAGTAATTTGCTACTTGTGTTTTAAAAAAAAACACTAAAATAAAAGAGCATAAACTCCAATTAATTAATGAACATATATAACATCATTTTAATTGTAGCTCTTATGTTCATTAAAGTTAGTTTTCATGTTTATTGGTTTTAGCTAGGCTTGATGTATGTTCAATAAAAGTATATTGAGCATTGTGCGTACGCCTTCAGTATTATATTTGCGCCCTAAAATGACTTTTCAATTTTTACTATATATTGTATTGAGGTTGATAAAGAAAAGAATGAATTTGCGCCCTAAAACGACTTTCCAATTTTTTACAATAATATTAAGGAAAATATTAATTGTATTGAGATCAAGAAATAAAAGAACACAAAGTCTTAAATGTGGCTGGCCACACCGTGTGGCCAGCCACTATAGGGATTACTTTGCTAGTGTAATGAGGGTTACTTGACCAGTGTTAAAGGGGTTACTTCATCATTGTTATAGAGTTATTCGGTCAGTGTTATATGGGTTACTTGATTGGTATTATATCAGGGATTACTTAATCAATGTTATAGGGGTTACTTTAAGTGGTCACACGGTGTGACCGGCCGCACACAAGACGAGATGATAAAAGAATTTGCGCCCTAAAATGACTTTGCAATTATTTACAATAATATTGTATTGAGATAGCAAGATAATTAAATAAAAGAAATTAAATAATGCAATTATATATAGGGAAAATATGAATGCCTAACTTAGCTATAGTTTGATGAGCCATCATATCTTAATAATAACGGTATCAAATCATAAAAATCTCCCAACTTTTTGCTGCTTTTTTCATAAGATTGAATGAGTAGCAAATAATGAGATTCCAGCCACATCAATTATATAATTTCTGTATTTTTCTTACAACTAATTAATCTTGGCATTTTCTATGTCGGAGTGCTTATGAACACAAACATATTACATCGAGGGCTAATTAATAGTAATGTCGGATTATAGCAACTTGTTTTTATGTACTACCAATTGTCATCATCAACATTAAACAAATAACCTTAACATAACCTATTTTTTAATACATTACTAGTCAATGTCATAATCTAAATGTTATTATTATCAACCTTAAGCTAAGCTCAATTCTTAATTATTATTTTTCCAAAAAAATCCAAGCTAAGGCCGCAATGCAATAATGTTAATGCCATGCAACTTGAATAAAATAACATCACACTAATGATCGAGTGATAGGTATTGTACGTAGTTATGCTTGTTTGTAGGATAATCGAATTGTCTAAGTCCTGTACTCGAATTTCTTTACGCAAGTATTTCATTGTCTTTAATCGCTATATCTATATGCACAAAAAAAAAAAAAAAAAAAAAAAAAAAAAAAAAAAAAAAGAAAAAGTGAAAGTGCTAACCATGTACTATATTCATCTATCGTTCTCATCTTTAGTAGCGAGGACTCGAGAGAGATAAGGAAATATATTAAATTACTAAAATACTTATTATCAAAATGTAACAACTAATATTACTATTAAAAGAGCTAGTCAATTAAATACAACACTTGGAGATTTTCTCTCTCTCTCACTCAATCTAATCTCTCTTGTTGGTCTAGTTAGAGACCAAACCCTAGATAGAAGGGAGAGAAGCATTTTAAAATTCAAAAAAAAAAAAAAAAAAAAAACAAAAATAATAATTTTTGACCAAACTATCCAGCTAATTACTTAAAATAATTACTCATACTTTTTTTTTTTAATTTCTCTCTTAATTTTTTTTTCCATTTTTGTTTACATAAGTAAACTTCTAATAATGGCTGCTTGAGCACTGTCACTGTCAGTTGAAGCCAAGAGTTCGGCTAATCTGTCGCTTAGATCATCCACTTCCCTATGCAAGTTCCTAATATAATTGCAAGTCTCCTGCAAAACCCTATTTGCCGACTGCCCAAAATAAATAAAAGTAAATGTTAGTCAACACCATTTTTTAATTTGTACATCATTTATACAATATAAATAAATATTTTCTATGAATATAATGCACCTAGATGACTTAGGGTTAAAAAAAATTAAATGCAAGATAAGAAATTAATGGAAGAAAAAAGAGTCCCACATCACAAGCAAATTGTTTGCTAGTTGCACCACATAATAATAATAAATTTATTAAATATAGTTCTAATATAATGGGCATATTTATATATATGTATATAATGCCAATAATTCTATAACATCTAACTTATATACTAAGATTTAATGAACTTGTGACTTATCTACCCTAACACAATGGAGTCCACACAACATTTGTGCTTCTTCTCATAGTTTCTAAAATGTTCACAAAATGAAGAATGAATAATAAAATGTACATAATATTAATTAAAGTTACATTCTATTTATTCCTATAATAGTAATGTGAAAGCATTTATATCGTCATTTCAATGTTGTATACAGGACTCCAGAACCGTCACATATAGTGGGGTCTGGAAGATTCAGATGTACGCAGTCTTATTCATCTATCTATCTGTAAATAACGCGCAAAAAAAAACTATTTATGGATGCTAGCTAGCTAGCTATACTAGTTCGTATGTGTATGTATATATATATATATATATGTATAGGTATAAGTATACCTTGTCAGAGCTTCGTCTTCCACGTATCTCAGGAACAAGCTGCTGCAACTTGTGAACGAGGTCAGCTATTTGATCATCACTTATGGAAGAGACACCAGCGGATTGCTGCCTGGACCGTGATCGTCGGCTAGACATAGTGATGATAGTACAATGAAGGAGGAATTCGAAATGGAAGTGATCTATATATCAACGAAAGAAGAAGCTAAGAGAATGAAGCTATTTAGGTGAAGAAGAAGAAGAAGAAGCAAGAAAGTAGGAGAGTAGTATAGTTTTGTATTGTGATGTTGTTGTTTATTTGTCAGAGAATAAGAAAGAAGGGTTAGTATATAAAGGAAATAGAAAGAAACTGTTTAAAAGATAAAAATAAATTTTATATTAAAAAAAAAAAAAAAAAAAAAAAAAAAAAAAGAGGACAAAGAGGTGAGGAAAGCATGAAGAAGAGGGAATGGGAGAGAGAAAAGAGTGGAGGGTGTTGGAAGTGAAGAAGACAAGTGCATGGGAGAACGCAGTGGGCTAATTTAACTTAAGGGGATGGATGGATGGCTAGATACGATCGAGTAGCTTTTATTAAATATAAAATAACAAACAATATAATATAATGTTTTATGTTACATAATATAATTAATAATAATAAGTTGAAGAGAGAGAGAAAATAAAATGCATATATTGCATTGTGTATTTGTGTTTGTGGCATGTTATTGTAGGGAAGTGTCCTTCTCTTGGTGTCCCCAATTTGGGGTTAGTCTTCAAGTGGGTAAGGGAGAAGTGTGCTTCTATTTCAGCATACGAAAGGGGCCTCTTTGTGTCAGTCTTACCATGCATCCCCATGTTATCCTTGCTTACATACTACGACGCCCCGATACTCTCTCTGTTTTTTTTAAAATTTTTTTACTATATATGAACAACTAACTTATTAATGCATGGGGTTAGAAGGGGTAAGTAATGAAGTGGGAATTTAGGTAGTTTGACCAAAACAAGAAGTGTGAATGCACGACAAAGTTTACTAAAAGAAAACATGTGAAGTTGTCTTTAAGTTATCAATGAATTAATAAAATAGAGAAATATTTTAATGAACAAATGAGTAGATAAAGCTAAGTTCATATATGTTGATAAATGACCGATCGAGTCATTTAATAAATCGGTCCAATTTACATCAATTTGGTTATGATGATACATTTGGTTAGAGTCAAGTAAACTGACTGGACTACACTCAACAAATTAAATTAAAATCCACCTTTATAACAATTGTAGCAATTTAGGCTCATGCTTGTAGCATGTGGTACGTAGAAATTTTTTTGGACTTCTTTGATTTGTCCTTTATATATTTCAAGTCAGTGGCAAGAAAACATGTTATTTGACAAATGTTTTGTATCAAGAGATGCAACTCGATCATGTTCTAAGACATATTATATCCCATGTTCAGCGATTCAAATTCACTTAAACATTCTTAAATTTGTTCGATCAGCACAATGAGATAAGAGCTTTTATCTAACAGATATTATATTTATGATAATATTTGTCGCAAATTAAGATAGATTTTATGTATATTTACAAAGTCACAAATATAATACATGTACAGTAGTATTATTTACCACGACATTTCATAATCAACTATCGAACACAACTTCATTAAAAAAATCCTTTATAACTAATTTTATTACTCTTATACTTTCGTAATACGGAGTACTAGCTCAAAAGACGATGTACTAATATCAATTTGAACAAATATTGTATGCAGTCCTGTCCATGATGATTAAGAATATGTTGCTAGCTAGCTACTCTGTATAATATTTAAAATGAAGATGATAGCGTACTATGTTGAAAATACTAAGATATAAGTATATAACCCTAGGTATGTAGCTTGGATGCATTAGGCATAAGCAAAGATTAAGAATTTAAAATCGATAAATGGCGGTTTTGTAACTCAAAGGATATGTTAGTTGAAGTATTGGGAAAAAGCCACAGAATGAAAGAACGGAGTTTGACATGGTTGCCAGTCAGACTTATAATTAAAAAAAAAAAAAAAAATGACAAATTCTAAAATTCTCTCTTTAAAAAATTTGTATCATTACATCACAATGAAACTCGTGGCATCTTGGAAACTCACATTACACCGACCCGAATCCTAGGCCTCTTATTTGGTTTATTTTTTTGTGTAGTTGTACCTTTACACAAACTACGTTGTTGTATTAGTTGTTGGCTTATCAAAATCATTAAAATTCTCCTCGGAGTATGGAGTAATAACTTCTATGGAGTAATTTTTTCTTAAAAATAAGTACAGATTAGTATGAATAAGGTTTTATTTTTTCACCTTAGTTCAAACATTTTCTCAATTTTCTTTTATTTGTAACACAACATTTGAGTATGCTATTTAGGAGTTGATTTAAGTAGATAAACAAACAACTTTATCATCATGATTTTAACACCAAGAATAGATGAAGGTTAGCCGGTTCAATATTAAAGGTCTGTTCTTATTGACTGAACTCAGCTGAACTAAACTGAACTGAGCTGAACTGAATATTTTATAAGATAAGGAAATTAGGAGCTCAAGTGAACTGAACTGAAGTGAACTGAACTGAAAATAAACATATGAGAACAGACCCTAATTACGTGTATAAATTTTGATAATTTGTCCTTTTACGTTACCAAATCTCTTGTCAATGTGCATCTGTATTCAAAAAAAATTTAGCAGTAAAAATAGCCAACAACTTAAAAAAAACAAATATAATTAGTATAAATAAGTTTTAAGCGATAAAAATAATCAGCAGCTTTAAAAAACACAAATACTTTGAATGACAAAGAATCACTATAAATAAGTTTCAACCAGTTAAAATAATTTATATTTAGCAACAATAATTTCATTTCATTAAAAATAAGATGAAAAAGTGCCTAATTCCTCTCATTGACATTTTTTTCCAATTCTGTAAATATAATTTGTATCGATCAAGTCTTTTTCATTTTAATAATTGTTTTTTTGTTATTGCTTGGCCCGGTACTCCTTATGTGAAAAAGGTTTGAGATTTGACTGGCTGCAAAAATTTAGGGCAAAAACATGATTTTGAAATCAATAAAAAAAATTGTGATCTTTCAAATCAGTTCTTAATATCTATGTATGTTTTATGGATTTTTGAAAAAAAATGAATGTGATTAAACAGTGAGTATAACCTAAGGTATCTAAGAGTCATTTAATTTTATTTTGAACGGACAAGGGAGCAACAGACAATAATCAACAACAATAACTTAAGGTATCAACCCATCAAAAAAAAACTTAAGGTATCAAAAAGTCATTCCATTTTTGAAAATATAAACACTCAATTTAATAAATAAAATAAAATAAAATAAAATATGAAATCCTAGTTCTGTCTTCTTCTGCAATCTAGATTATTAGTTTAATTAATTAATACCAGTCCTTGTCTAACTGACTTAGTTGTGAAGTCCTTGTACAGTGGAGTATAACATAAAGTTATAGTATTATATACATGTAACACGGTTAAGTTTGATTAAATTTTATTATATGAACAATAATAATGCATATAAAATAAGGTTGGTACGTAAGTTCAAAGTGATAAGCTAATTAATAATAATAAGTAAGTATAATTAAGAAGCATGTGGGAGAGATATGATGCCTCTTTTCTCCGGCGAGATTCCTGCTTAAATGGTCAGTAATTTGTCGACGTTATAACAAATATTACTTTTTTTGGTTAGTCGTTGTTTTTATGGTGGTGGAACTAAGCTAACTAACTTAGAGCATTAGAGTGGTCATAACTCATAATCCCTTCGATTTGTCGCTTGCTTATGCCATGGATGCATGTGTGCATGCAACACTTGCGCTTAAGTCTTCCTCCCACGCATCAATATATGATATCTATATTTTTTTTGCGTTGTCGAAAGACGGAATTACACTAAAGACAACAAATCAGTGACGTAGATGAGTTTCAATTTCAATTCGATAACTGATAATAAAAGGTGTTGTTTGTAAGACTTTGCCAGCTATTCTTTTTCAACAATAGTTTATGTTGCAAAATAGGCCAGGGTTTGTTGTAAATGTTATGGTTTATGTGGTATTACTCCTCAATCATGCAAATTATATACTCTAATCTAACTGTTAATTTTAAAAGATGTACTTGAACTCGTGACAAGTATAGGAAATGGATTTTGTTCAACCACTACTCATTAAAATGAATAAAATTTGCATAAAACAATTCATTTTAAAAATAATAAGGGAATTATTACACACCATAAAACTAAGATATGAGTGATACAAGTAGCTTAATTAAGATATATTATACCCAATTATCATAAAAGGTTCACCTTTTGGTTGAGGAAATAATTTTTATTTACAAGCTAAGAAGGGATGATCAGTTGATCATGATTCACGACTTATAATATAAAACCCAACTTATGAATAGAAATGTATTTTTCTGTTTATTTACTATTTGAACCATCTCTTCGTACTTTTAAAGTAGGCTTTTCATGATTTTGCCGTTGGTATTGTACGTACTTCCTATAATCCTATTAATGCACTTTCTTACCTCATAGTAACATACTACTATATGCTTATATTAAGTAGTGGTCCATATTCTAAGTACAGTTTTGGAATCAAATAGCCTTCTCAATATCCTAAATTCAACCACAAATTGTACTTTTTTTTTTCTTTCACAAATGACCTAGTCAATCACACTTTCATTGGAATTGTTTTTGGTGTTTAGAGAGCTACAAGAGCAACTGATGAGAACTGATCCCAGGATCACCTGGAATTGGAAGGGAAGCTTTAAGTCTTTAAGTACTTGAGCTCTCCCTCACACCCACTTTCTTTGTGAATTATATAGCTGAAATAGAAGTTCAAGCTTCAAGTGAAAAGTATTTTTCTTCTTATCATCAAATAAACAATTCAGAACACTATATTATTAAAATAATAAAGAAAAATTTGCCAAAAATAACACCACCTTTAGACGGTCTTCCCATAATAGCACCACCTTTTGATTATTCCTGAATAACACCACCTTTCACATGTATTTGCCAAAAATGAAACAAAACCGGTTGGTAACCTGTAAAACAGGTTACTTGTGCACGTGTCACAATGTCAATGGTCAATTTTATTTATTTAAATTTTTTTTAAAACCTAAGTAATTAAAAAACAAAGTATAAATTAAAAAAAAAAAGAACCCACCACCAAGCCGGCTAGCCTCCCTTGCCAATCTCTCCCTGCCCAGCCCCACCCCGTACCCACCCTCGCCGCCGCCCTTCCCCCTCCCCATCCTCACCGCCGATCAACCTCCCCAGCCTTCCCCCTCCCCTAAACGACACCCCCCTCCACCCATTCCCCGCCCTAAACAACCCACCACCTATCTATTCCCTCGCCCTAAACACCCCTCCACCCATTCCCCTACCCTAAACACCCCTCCACCCATTCCCTGTTCCCTTATCCATTTCTGGTGCCCTCTTCCCTTCCCTATTTTCGATGCCCCTACCCATCCCTTCTCCATTTTCGATACCCCCTCCCTTTCCCTTCCCAATTTCCTGCCTCTACCACCTATCTCCTTCCCCCAAAAACATAACCAGTCAAAAATGTTGGTTGTGTAA